ATGTTCTTTCCTACTGCACTGACATCAGAAACGAACTTCTCTAAGTCACACGTGTCGAGCCTTTACTTTGTAGGTTCGGTAAAAAAAGACTACTCAAAAAAATCATACACTTATCTGTCCATGAATGTCAGAAAAAAAAAAAATATTAAAAAAAAAATTTAAAATTAAAAAAATCTACCACAACCTAACCATTGTCACGAAAATAATAGGAAAAAAAATTTTCCTTAAAATTATATACTTTGTAAAGATCTCTGGCTCTAGGTAAATCAACCAACGTTTTGTTTTTCAACATGTTAAAATACAATGTCACTAAATGTATGTTTCCTTATTTTCAGGTTTAGTACACTCTTTAGATCCAGGATCATTTTTGCTTGTCTTGTGACCGTTAGCAGTTACAGCAATGGTGACCTCATCCATGTGGGGCTGGAACACCGGTTCCTTGGAGCAGAGAGCAAAGACCAGAGCCAGGATAAAGAAGAACAATGTGATAATCCTCAAGCCCATCATCAGCGCGTGTATTCGTAGCCGGAAGAGTTCAATGTCGTACAGGGAGCATGCGCCGACTGAGCCACACGTTGTTCGCCATAAAATGCATGTGGAGTCCACGAGGGAGCCGAAGATCACCGGCCCAGGAAACCAGCCTTCAAGGGAATCAACACAGATCAGAAATGCGCAATACACGTGACACATAACATGATGGTATCACATTTTACAATAAGCATAGTCAAAAAGTAATGATTATTCAACCTTCATTTAGGGCACGTTAGAACGGATAATGTGGTCAAGCTATTAGACCGTCCATGTACGACCATGGGTGGGAATGTACAGGGGGAAAAATACGTCCTCTTTCCATGAAAGCATAAACAGCATACATAAGACACAGATTTTTGGAAAGTCGTGAAAAGAAATAGAAAATAATGTGTGAACTGATTCATGTGATTAAAAATTACATCAAAGAAACCATTCGTGAGAGCAAAGTTGCAGTTAGGCGACCAATAAAACTACACCGAAACTACTGAGATGGATAAAATCAACATATGGATAAACCGCAGTCAGAGAGGATGTACATATAGGGTGATGGACAATGTGCTGGGGATGCACTGCAAACAACATTCATTATGGAGGTGGTCCTTGACTAAACGATTTAACAGTGGTCTTTATCTGATAATAACATTATTCTAAAAAAAAATAAAAAGAAAGAAAACTTACAACAAAATGCTTGTCGAAAAATAGAGGTGTCATATTTACTAGTAAATTCCAAGCCGATTACAATTGCTGCATTTCTCGATCCTATTCTCTGAAATGAATCTCTGAAATAGGATACGCACAAACAGCTTTGGACTCGCCGTGGCGGAGAGGCTAGACGCTCTCCTGCAGAACGGAAGGTCGTGGGTTCGCTTCCCGGCGGAGACGGACTTTTTAAAAAATGACCTTGTCTCCCAGATCGACCCAGCCTTGAGTGAGTATCAGGTGCAGTCCCAGGAAGTAAAGGCAACCGGCGTGATACTAACCACATCACTATCTTGAGCCGATTCGTCTATAAAATATGGGTCTAGCTCTATATGTCCTATACCCTTAAAGGAGTGGAAAAAAGGTCGTTAGTGTCCCTGCGAAGGCGCTGAAACCAACAGCAAACGGCTTATCTTCCTCCTTCACACATCTGTGCCAGAGAGAAAATAAACTTTACACCACCGTACACAAGACAATACATCTGTGACAGAGACAAAATATACTTTACAAATCGATATCAGATACATTATATACTTTACACATCCACACATTCGTGCTGAGACGAACACATGCACCTAATAAATCTGTGTCCAAAAATAAAAATTTATGTAAATCCCCCCCCCCCCCCACCAACCCCCCCCCCCCCCTAAAAAAAAAAAAATGGAGTTTGGGGCGGGAGGAGGTGGGAGACGAAGTTCTCCAACTCCCAGGTTCAGGAGTTGCTGAGAAAAGAGTTTATCGAGTCACGTTGTGTGCACATAATTGCTTACACTATACAACTCTTTACAACAGTACAACAAGAACGTCTTGCCCAGTGGCTAGAAGTCTGGGCTCGCCTAATGTAGAAGCAGGTTAGAATCGTCGGTTAGGGGATCCATTCCCCTGCCCTCACCGGATTTATAACCTGCACAGATCATGGCGACAACACTAGCCATATCATCTGTAAGCCTCAGGCCCAAGTCAATGCTCCCGAAAAAAGAGTACTAACTACATGCAATAAAGATAGCAGGGTTAAACATCCTCATCAACGGACTGATATCCATTTACACAATCTGATAGTTCAGTTATCCACATGAACTTTTCTATCCACTATCTCCCCCCTCTCCCCTACCCCCCCCCCCCCCACTCACTCTCTCTCTCTCTCTCTCTCTCTCTCTCTCTCTCTCTCTCTCTCTCTCATTTAGGGAGAATAATGAAATAATAATGAAATGTTTCTATTGTCTTGAGGAAATGACTAAAGGTTTGCAGGCAAACGGACTTGGAAAAGTTCTCACCTGATACTGACAATGAAACTGGGCATCATAGCGACCATGGTGATGAAGCCTCCAATGCCGATGAGAACAAGGTATGGGTATAGGTTGGTACAGTCCGAGATACACAGCCCTCCCCTGGCGGTGCCCCGAGTTTGATTGGTTGCTATACAACTGCAGTTGGTGAAAGCCTGATTTGTGAATGATTCAAACACATAACTGTGGTTTCTTTACTCAAGGAGTGAGACAAATGACAAGAAAAATGAACATTAAACGAAGTTAGTGACAGAGTGACATTCAAATCCACCAGAACCACACTAAGAGGGTTAAAAACCCAGACACCTAGTTCAACCGTTAGCTTATAATAGGGCCCCAGACGGCAGCCGGGCTTCAAAATAACACAATACTGTGTCTAAAAATATTCGGGCAGAAAGCATAATGAACATTGAGTGACAAGCAAGTGAACCATGCAAGAATTTTTCAGCAAATATGATTGTAGAAATACAATTTTAAGTATCAACAATATAAGTAATTAAAGCAATGTTTCCTTTCTGTAAATGTTCATAAAAAGGATGTGAACAGTAGATTTCACAATCCGTATAAGTGTCTATCGAAGTTAGGAGTCATTTATGTGTATCCTTGCATTCAACAGTCGCTGTACTGCGCACCAGATGGGATACAACGACATATGAAAGGCAGTAAATTGTGATTTCTGTGGTTTATCATTTCTTTGTTCAACTACGATAGGCCAAAGTTAAAGAAGCAGAATAAGAGTATGTGAAGAGATTAACGTTATCATGCGATGTTTGCCTAACAGTGCGTGATGTCTGGCGCTGTGACATGTATGTACAGGAAGCACTATGAATTATTTGTTATGATACCTCCCGGAAATGATTCTGGACCCCATTTAAGGAAAAATATGGAATAGAACTACCTTCCTTGAAAAAAAAGCATGTCGTAAAAGGCAACTAATTAGGAGTTTGTTTAAATGAGATGTGTTTTGTCAATAGGCGCCACCTATCTGTAAACCCCAAATGCAAAGTGCCAACTGCTAAAATTTTTTACACCGGTACAGCAGTCGCTGTTCGACACACCATACAGAGTTCCTGCGATGCAGTGAAACAAATAAACTTTCATATGACATGTAAACACATTGTATGTTATTCTTTCCATCCTCGCCGCAGATAAAAGAAATCGACGTCAACATAGCGTTGAATTGTTCCGTACTTTTGAAAACACCAACGCCAATGTGATCTGTTTCCGGGCTAACACAATGCCGAAAGGTAACGCAGATTTAGTATCGGGAAATTCATTTGTAATGTTGCATATTTCTCCTGAATTTCCCTGTTCCTATGTATGCCTAGAATAGGCGGTTTCCGGGGTTCACCCAGCCTCTAGGAATTGGGTACACACTGGTGTAAATGGAGGAACGACGCTGTAGCTACAGTGTTAAGTGCGGACGGCGACACAGGCGGACAATTCTTATCAGCTGTCCTTACTGGTGGCAGAGCTCTTTTGGTCTTTAACCGTGTGCAATGACGCTGGTTTACATCTCCCGACTTATCTGATTTTTTTATTTTATTTATCTTCACACTGATAATGACACCACTCAGTGAATTTAAGTCAGACCTGTAGTCAGTGCTGATTGGACTTTGAATATGTTACAGTCTTACATTGTTCTATCTGTTTGATCAGTCCATTAATACGTCTTACCTTTGTTGAAATTCAATGCATCATGCTTTGTTATTCTGAATTCATCTTTGTTGGTGTCAGGTATTTCTCTGTTTTCTTTAGTCAGGTTGGTATGAGTGTTTGATACATTTTCAGATTTCTGTTAATACTGTGTTATTTGACCATGAAAGTGATTCAATTTAGACTGGGGGCTAACAAGTGGTGAGGAAGTCTGGCCAAGTTGTGCCCAGGAATATCTAGTTGTTCTGTAGAGCCTGTAATTTTAGTTGCCTTATTCCTGAAGTGATGTTAGATGGCCGATGGAGCTGCAGAGTACCTTCTAGACCAAGACGAGCCGCCATTTTAACAATAAATCACTTAAGATTGTCTTTGTTGATTAGGGAAACCCTAATAAGTCACGTGACATCATCGTCTCGTGACAATACTTTCGGCCTCGGACATCCATGTTCTACCTCATTTCAGGGACCACCTGTTTTATCATGTGTAGCATGACACATGTGTCACAGAATCTAGTAAATAATTGGTATCTGGCAAAAGTAAACGGCCTCTGAAAGTTAGCGGGTCTTCAGGACTTCAGTGAAACTCAAACAGTTGTTCTATTTGTCATGATAAATGTATTGCCACTCTCAGAATTAAAATATATAATAATTTGCAGTTTGCTAACACAAACTCTATTTCCGATACATCTGGCTTTGTGGTTTAGAGGTTACTGAATACGCTGAACCGTTTCAGAATTCTCGAGTTGGATTTTGCGGCAAACGGCACGGTTTTAGGACAACGGGACGAGTGCCGCGTCAAGGAACAGATTGGATCCTTTCAAATAACGTGCTATTTCCAAAAACAGAAGCGGGTACACTCCAACCAACCTTCTTTGTGGAGACGGCACACACTTTGGAATAAAACCCAAAGTAACTTACGATCTATCTTTTGATTCTATGCTCATCACAATCGCTCCTATTCATTTCTTAATAAATGTTGTTAAAACAAATATGAGTGCAATAGACATAGAAACGACTTATACGGCTTCGACATTATTATATCTGTCAGCGTCCGTAAAACAAAGAGTAAAAATACTATAGTGTTGAAAATAAAACAATTCGTGATTTACTTAACATAATGAAGATCAAATTCTGTTACTAGGAGAAACACACACACACAAATGTTATATCTGAGAGGAAATCTACATATCTACCTACACTTAGAATCAACGATGTGAAGCAATTATGCACGAACATTTGAATACACTTGCGCCCTTTTTAACATCAATAAAGATTGCTGACACAAGGGAGAATGCGATTGTCTAAAGCAATGGTAGGGTTAAAAGGCATTAAAAACGTTCTTGTGGCTTTTAGACAGTGACACGAGAGTCATAGGGCAACATTACTATTACCAAAGGAAGCAGGATGTCCATGATGATGGCGCTCAACCCCACCAGGAGCGCACAACGAGCATTAAACACCCGGTGACACAAAGTACCACCATTCGATGAGGATCACCCTGGGATAGGTCCCAGAAGTCCAGTTCAACCCGTAGGCTAGGTTATACGAAGGCCCCCGGCAACAGACCGGGCAGGGCTTTGAAACAACAAAACATTGCGTCCGACACTAGGACACAGATCTCTATATAGGCTTCTATTTCAGCAGCCATTACGGAGAGGACACCAGAAAGAATATTTATGGTACATAAATGGCTCTTAATTGGTATGCCCGGAATTGTGGTTGGTGGCACAATATAAATAATTTACGTTATGCTGATGACACAGTCTTGATAGCAACAAGTCAGAAAGAACTACAGGAAATGATAGACATTGTGGTGTTAGAAAGTGGAAGAATGGGCCTCAGTTTGAATAATGGGAAGACAGAAGTAATGGTGATATCAAAGAAAAGAATTTTTCCTAAATGTGTAATAAAAGTCGATGGTGGTATTTTAGGACAAGTTCAGAAATCAAGTATTTGGGCACATGGATAACATCAGATGTAAGATGCATAACTGAGATAAGAAACAGAATAGGACAGGCAAAACTGCATTTTATAAAACGAAGAACATCTTGTGCAATATATCCTTGTCATTGAGAGTTAGAAAAAGAATTCTTGCTTGCTACATACCTCCAGTTTTAACATATGGCTGTGAATCCTGGACAATCGGTAGGCAGGCCAAACAATTCCTGGAGGCCTCGGAGATGTGGTTTTACAGAAGAATGCTTAGAATACCTTGGACAGCCAAAAAGAGCAACCAAGAGGTTTTGAAAGAGGCGGGAGCCCGAAGACAACTTATCACAGACATCAGAAGGAGACAGTCATCATTTTTCGGCCATGTTATGAGAAGAGGGAAAATAGAACATGTTGTGACTACTGGAAAGATATGTGGAAGGAGAGATAGAGCTAGGCAACGAGAGAAGATGCTTGACAGTCTTGTTGCATGGCATGGAGGTGTGTCGGCACACGAACTGATTCATGCTGCAGGAGATCACAGATTATGGAGAGGCGTGATCGTCCACGCCAGTCGGCAAGGCACCTAATGATGATGATGAACTGGCTCATAAACAAAATGTCATAGTGTAGCACAGTCACTGAAGAGAAAACGGTAACTACAGGCATTGTTCCTGTGAGACGAGGCTGGATTGGATTGGCTTTTTACCCCACCAGGACATCACACAAGCGATAAACACCCGATGACACAAAGTGCCACCATGCGGATGAGGATCACCGTGGAGAGGTCCCAGAAACCGCGTTCAGACATTTGGCCATAATGATGACCTGCCTATATTGCGGCCCCTGGCAAAAGCCAGAGTGGGGCTTCAAATAACAAAAAATAACGTCCTAAGAAGGACGTACGACTGCAGAGAGCATGATACGAGGCAAGAGCTGACCAAATGACTAGCACAGGATAACTAGTGATGCTTTGGAGGTAAGACGCGGGGAATAAGGTAAGCGCTAAGTGACTCTCTGTGTACTGTTTTCAAGGCACTGTTCTACGAATGACGTGCTAGATTATGACGATGATTTCACGACTGCACATCACAATGGCAGCACATACCTCGTCGTGTCACGGCCCTTGTGTATCACAGGCTGTTTACAGCCGACGGCAAATCCCAGGGCAAATATTCCGGTCACCAGGATTTTACTGCCAATAAGAAATTTGAGACAGGCCAAGGGAGACAACTTTAGCCGAGATGTTAGGCATCCACCTAGAGATGTCCCAATAACGGCAATCAGGACATTCATGACACCTGTGTGATCAAATGTGTATCATGTCAAACTCTAAACTTAGGTAACACGCATACACATTTAACTCAGTATACAAAGCGCTAATTGTAGTAGCCAGGAAAGCCACCCCAAATGTATCACACTAAATAAATAAATGCCTCTAG